GTCCGCGAAGGAGTTGGGCCGCAGAGCGCGACCCAGGCGAGGGAGGGCGTGGGGGCAGGAGGGGCGAAGCGAATGCATTCGGGACAGGCGAATGGACGCACTGGAGGGGTGAGTCGGGGGCACAGGTGAGGGGGCAGGAGAGGTCGGTGAATATTCAAGACAGTTGAGTGGACAGAATTGGTGAGTGGACAGGACACGTGACGAGCGAGCGGACACGTGACAGGTGACGAGTGAGTGGACAGGTGACGAGTGAGTGGACACATGACTTGTGAGTGGACAGGACAGGACCTGCTGGCGACATCGGCCGCCCCGCTTGCCAAGGCGCGCGCCGGCCGGGGGCCTCTGGCTAAGCCGTGCTAATGCCCGCGGCGAGGAGAGATTACGCGGCGCGCTAATGAAATCTGATTTTAGAAATCAAATCCCGGCCAAATCTGGGGCAGGTGAGCCCGCACTGGACGGCGTGTGCACAACACACACAACATTCAAACCCTCGTGCAGCCTCAACAGACTGTTGGGGTGTAAGTTGTCCTTAGCGAACACCGTAATGGGTCAAGCGAGGAGTCGGTGTGGCCAGCGTCACGCCGTCTTCGTCTCCCCACTGCCGATGTTGACACGCCGCGCCAGGCATTCCTCATTTAAGGTCGAGTTGACCGAGCGGAGGCCCAAGAAGGCCAGTTTGTGTGTTCCGTCACCGGTGTTGGTCGTGAGCGTGAAATCGAACTCGGATCAGCCGGTTCCACAAGCCCCAGTGTGAGCGTATCGTTTGTGCGTTCTCATCGGTTCTCTGTAGCAGCACTCGCCCCAACAGTCTGTTGAGGCTATGGGGATGATCTTGGTCTCTCGTTTTTATGTTGAGTTCCGGGGAGGGGGGGAAGGGCGGGGAAGAACCACCAGCCGCTGATTTGAGCCACGGTGGGAAATCAATCTGATACATCGTCGACAATCTCATCCAGTCCGAGGCGCACGGCGACGACTCCGCGGAACCGCTCCCTCGAGTCGCCGCACGAGACTCGGGCCACGTGCTCAGCGTGGGTCACGTGCTCAGCGTGGGCCACGTGCTCAATCACGAAAGCTTCACGATGATAAGACGCTTCGTCGAGCTATCACTTGTGGCCAGGTCGCTTCTCAAAAAGAGCTACAGAGCTCAGTGGGGCCTGACCTGGTAAAATAAAAAACAATTGTTTAGTTTGTAGTTTAAGCTGAATTTGACATAATGCGTGTAATTGTGTCCAACCTCTGGTAACTGATGATGGACGCTTGTGTTGCGTCCGAAACGTCGTCATCCATACTCTTAGGTTTTTTCGGTAAAGTCACGTAGGGATAAATAAATAAATAATACAATTCATAGAAATAATTATAGAAATAAAAGAAATCAATAACTAGTTATTTTGCTGTGCCTCTTTACACCTGATGAAGGAAGCTTGTGCTGCCTCCGAAACGTCGCGATTTATTATTTTATTTATGTTATTCATATTATTCGCATTATTTATTTATACCTACGTGACTTTACCGAAAGAACCAAAGAGTATGGATTCCTGCAGGCACGAAAGCTTCAAATCAAGATGTTTGTTGTTGTTGTTGCTGCTGCAGCTTTGTAAACGTGTTTTGTGTAACGCGCTGTACACACCGACCTGGCTTTGATTCCTGGACGGATACAATCAGTGGCAAGTAATGTGTCAGAATCGTCATCATCTATCCACTGCTGGATGAAGGCCTCCCCCAGCCACCCACCCACACGTCGTTGTCCATCATTCAAGGTCCTGCGAGGTCAACAATTTAGGTTGCCCCTGCCCGTGACCTCGCCGCTCCACCTGTAGCACCACGGTGGTCGTCCTCCCGTGCGTGTCCTCATCTCCTTGCACGCCTCTGCCCATTGGCCACCGACCCTTAAAATGATGCGTTCGGCCCAAGCCCGCTTTGCTATCCTCGCCGTTCAACGCGTCTCAAATGTCTCCCCCCCCTTTTGTTCACTACTAATCCACGCGTCCCTCTTTCCGCCTCTCGGTTTAAATCCGTGTGTGCGCGCCTTCTCCAGGCTTCTTTGCAACGCTTTTCACCTTTTGTTTCCCACCTTGCCGTGTCGGAGTCCCCGCGATTCCCGGCCCACGCCGTGGCAGGCGATGCGCGCAGAGATTGAAGCAAATGGCTTTGTTGCTGCTCATTCAAAATAGTCGAAATGTTTGTTGTTGTTGTGGTGGTCGTCGTGGTGGGTGTCAAAATCATTTCTCGCTCCCCTTATTTATGTTTGAGCCCGCTCGGACCCTCCTACGACTGCTCTCGTCAGAACACAGAGACAGCCCCCGGGTCCGCGTGTGGTTTTTCCACCACCCTCGTGTCGTGTCCCTCCAACAAGCGGCGTCTTTGTCCGGCGATTTGTCAACTCGGCACCCAAGTGAGCAGCAACTTGCGCAGCAGCTTGGCACTGCAGTGGCCTGCCACACAAAGACAAAGGTCCCCCGTGTAGTCTCCACAGACTTTTGGGCCAAGTGCGGTCACCGAGCACCTGTGAAGGCCGGAACGGCACACGAGGGGGTGGGTGGCCAACGCCACGCCAGGCCGCCTTTGTCTCTCCCTGTGGCGATGTTGACACACCGCACCGGGTACTCATTTGAGGCCGAGTCGACCTAGGGGAGGCCCGGAACCGGTTCAGATAATCGGTACTGGTGTTGGCCGTGAGCGGGAATCGAAATCGGGGTCGCCGGGTTCGTAGCGCAGCCGATCACCCCCACCATGCATTAGACAAATTGCTGACATTAGACACGCAGGGAATCATATACTTTGGGTCTATCGGTAAAGTCACGTAGATAGCTTCAAAGAAAATAAAAAAAAAACTACGACACCTTCACCTTTACCCATTTACCCGGTAAAAAGGGTTAATTACCTTACGTTGCCGAGGCCTACGCAGGCTCTCCACGTAAGGAGGTTCACGTCTGGCAAGCACAGCGATGGCAAGGGCGGAGCTGTGGTCGAGAAGACCCAGAGCAGCTTGACGTGGAAGTGACACCACAGGCAACTTGCACACAGCTGTGGAGCCGATGACAAAGATGATGTTGCACGACTGATAGGAAGTGATACCTATAGCAAATGAGCTGGTCATGAGCACGCAGTTTATGGGAACTCGTGAATTCTCTCCACGACTGGGGAGTTTTTGGGGAGGGGGGGGGTCTGAGCGAGGATGACAGCCCCCCCCCTCTTAGAGGCACACTCCAGACGCAGCAGTGGCGTTCTCAAACGCCTTCTCGGAGCAATTACCAAATCATCAGCACGCAATGGCCACGGAACGCGCATAAAGCCAGGACAAACATTGACGCGTCCTTGACGTGAGTAAATAAACGCGTTCGGAGGGCGGGAGAAATATTTTCGCTTTGCATCAAGTCCGAGTCCGTTGTTCTCTCACGGTAGAACACGCCGGAGATCCGAGACGGCGAGAAAGTCGCTCGCGGGGAGCGACTGCGGCTCTGCCAGGGCGAACGGGGCAGGGCGCGTGTTGGTGGAGCGCGTTGGTGGAGGTTGTGGTGGAGGCGAGGAGGGGCCCGGATGAGGGGTGACGACGAGGGGGGTAAGCAGAACAGCAAACACAGGCGGGCAGCCATGACCACCTCCATGCTGCAACATACAGCAGCGTGGACGCGGACAGCGTGCTCGCGAAACACACGCTCGGTCCTGCCAGACTCGCACTTTTAATCTCTTGCCTGTGTCTTCGCGTGGAGCCCCACACACACCCCCCACACACACACCCCCTCACCTCCCCACACACCCCCTCACCCCCCCCCCCCACACACCCCCCCACTCGCCTGTTGAAGTCACTTCCATTGCGCTCGAACCCTTCGCGTTCCCGTCTCACCGTTCACGCTCTACCTAGCCACGTGTTTCTCTCTTTCAATAAAACGCGTCTGGCAAAAACAAAAACCGAGTTCCTTGTCAACACAAGCTGCCGAGTCAAACCGAGCAAGGTGGCACCCCCGTCCTCGACACGTGCCCCGGCCTTCCCTGCCGGTTTGCCGTAACGAGCTCACGACTCGCTACCACGACGTCGTGTGCAGTGGTGGCCTCGTGAAGAGATAAAGCACATGCTCGCACCTGCCCCCCTCCGCCTCTCCGTAGAGTATATGGTGCGGCTAACAGGAGGAATTTGTAAAAAAAAAAAAAACTTTAACAATAGCAGATAGATACAACCAGAGAAGCCAAGCGATTGGTTATGAAGAACGTTGACCAAACATAGCAACGGAGAACACTCATGGAAACCTGTTGAGAAGCAGAGGCTTCTTTGCATAACGATTAGTGGACTCATTTAGAGCTGGGCTATCCGACTAAGTGATGAATTACTCTACCGATTATGGGCAACGATAGCGCTCGATTAATCTGAGTAAGCGCCGCGAAAACGAGTTGTAGATGCAGCCGTTCCCGTGTGCCCGACTGCACACGTGACGGGTGGGGCCTGTGACGCTACCGGCACCCACGGACACGTGACGGGTGGGGCCTGTGACGTCTCCACCACCCACGTACACGTGACGGGTGGGGCCTGTGACGCGTCCGTGTCCCCGCTGCGTGTGGGGTAGGAGGGTGGGGACCGAGGGACTCCCAAGGCCTCGACCACGACAAAACGAGTCGATGTAACGGCCTCAATGGACTCATCGTCCCACGTATCGCACCTCCAATGAGCGCGCTTGGCTATGTACTGTGCGAAAGAAGTTACGTATACGTACATCATAGTTTGTATTATTAATCAATGGGTATGAATGGCAAGACGGGTGGATGCTGGCAGGTTGATGGGTGGTAAGGAGAGCCGACGTGAGGACCCGACATGGGCGCAGGCTGGCCGATGCACAGAATGCCAAACATCATCTCACAATGTGGCCTTGTTCCCCCCTTTCGCCTGTTCTCACCACGCACCCGCACAGAACGCAAAGCTTCCATGTGTATAGCGGTAAACGGTGCGCGGCACAATTTGAAAACACGGACGCACAAATAAAAAACGCGACACCTTTCAAATGGTCTTCTTTTTTTTTTATAAAAACACACGAACATTGCTGGCGGACACAACACACGCGCAAGTCTTACTCACCGCCCCCCCCCCTCCAATCGATTCGACCGCGCGTTTAATACGCCACGTTCATTGCCATTACTATCACTGACTACTAATTAAAATTCATTAATACAGTATTGCACTGTGGCAGCCTCGCTCGCGTTTACCCATCGGCGTTCCGGGGCCACTCCGGCCAGCACAACGCACGCCACTCAACTCCCCCAGCCGAGTACCAGCATGGCGGCCACGACGCTCCACGGAAACTCCGGGGCAGTCGCCGCCAGCAACCGTCTTCGCTGGAAAATGTTGCCGCGACGTTTCCGATCGTTCAGCCTTTTTGGTTGCCCAGATCCTTAACAATTCTTTTCGCTGCTCCCTTTTGTGGCAGATGGGATTGGCAACGTCCAATCGGATCGCACGTAAAGGTCACCTGGCTACCCAACGTTTCAAACTCGCTTTTTTGGCAAACAGCGCTCCGGCGACCATCGCCGGAGGTCTGTTTGCGAGGATCGCCTGAACGTTTCCCCGGTCCGTAGCTACGCTCGGTGTGCAGGCGCTGGTCGCAAGTCTCCCGTCCGCGTTCTACCATCGATTCAACAACAACTCTGTAGCTGTCGACCAGGCGTTCGCGAGGCGAAGATGCGAGGGCGGGGGTCAGAAGGGGTCAGTCCTTGGTGCAACAAAATATCTGGAGTTAAGTTCACACCGATTTAGTTGGGAAACAAAGGGAAGATATCACGCATTCAGGTGTTTCATGAAACTGCCTACAAATCCGTGGGGAGTTCATGGTGAAGTTAGCCATCATCTTGCATTGCAGATATGGTGGCTCCGATCGGCGACAATCAGGTTGAGAATTACCTCAACCCGATTGCCACCCATCGCGTCGCGATGACTCGACAGAAGCGTTTGTGGTGGCAGAGTGCTGCCGAGTGGCATTCCGCCCGATTGCCAAATGTCGCTCGAAATGGATTGCGCGTGAAGCCTTTACACAGCGTCTCGGCAAGTCGCAGCAACCGGGCCGATCTCCTGGCAGAAATGGCACCATCACATTGCAGAAACTCCCCGTTATCTGTGCCGCCCTTGAGCCGTTGCGTACTCGAGTTGCAGGTTCTGACCGCGGAGATGCAGGTAACAACAAAAATGCTGTGGCCAATCAGAGATGTTTTTGGGGGCTGGCTCCAGGTGGCAATGGGCACGTCTGTAAGCTGTGTAGGACCGGGGCTGGCGGGGGGGGGGGGCTGGGATAGGATTAGAACGACTGATAGGGTGCGGCACTTTTTTACAGCGGCGGTATTTCGCGCTTCAGAGCTCTCGCTCAAGAATCCATGTCGCCCGCGTGTCACCCTCGACACACGCGCGCACACACACACGCCGACCGTCCGTCCCAACACCCGCGCAAACAACGCCCACCCAAAAGTTAAAACACTCGCACCATTCACGGCTGCTCTTTAATTTAGATTCGTTTGCTCGCTCTTGTTTATTTATTGTATTTGTGGATCGGCTATAGTCCCCGACACCATCATATCGGTGCCGCCTCTTGTGCCTCGATTCAGAAGGCCGCCGCCTTCCCTCTCCGCGCGGGCCGACGAATTGGCGAACGCTCCACCGACGCCGGCTGCCACACAGTTTTGAAAGTTCACGCCTGCCGTTTGTCCGTTAGGCTCGCAGAGCGGTGACGTTTGGGAGAAGAGGCGACGACACTGAGATGTGAAACCAGAGATGGAGACCCCGCAAAATCCGTCGCACTTTAGCGCAGCGTTCACGACTTACGGAAAGGATAGTCTATGTTCACAAAACACAGCTCCAAAAACCCAACGAGTCCAGCGTTTAGCCAAACCTCACCAAGCCCTAGCTCTAAACCCTAATCCACACACAGGCCTATCCGTAATGCAAATCTAATCCTTCTCCAAACACCGGGTCTAGTACTCTTCCCTAACCCCAGTGCTTACCATATCACCTGCCAATCTAGACCTAACCCTTACAAAGCCTACTCTGTTAATCAAGGCCCAGCAAGTCTAGCCCGTGTCATAATGAGCCTAGCCCTTGTGGTAGTTCTAACATCTTGCCTTACTCCCCCTAGCCTGAGCAAGCCTGCCTCTCGCCCTAACAAGCCCGAAGCTTCACAAGCCCGGCCTTTATTCAGCTCCTCGCTCACGCATTGTGAGGGTTTCCCATTAGGCAAACCAAAAGTGAACCCTATTTTGTTTTGCGGCAAAACTGCACGGGGATCGCCAAGTTTCATGACAGCTCCCTTACGGTGGCACGGGGCTCTCCCCAAAGGCTTTGCATGGTTCCGTGTGTGTCTGTGTGTCTGTGTGTCCGTCCGTCCGACCATCACTCCACCTGCCGGCTCGGCGAGCGGCGTCACGACGGACGTCGCTTCTCTGCAACAGCGGCGACAGCGCGGGGCCGGCACGCCGCCGCCTCGTGCGCGCGACGCTCTCGCGATAAAACGTCGTCCCCAAACGTAGACGCTCAGAAAAAATTCCTCGCGCAGGTGTGGGGAGGAACAAGAACAAAAATGAGCGCAATTAAAAAATCAACAGCAAGGAGCTGGTGGGGAAAGACCCGTTGGAGGATGAGGGGGGGGGCGCTAGGATTACGGAAACGACACGCAAGCGCTCTAGAGTCCAATGAGCGAAAGCACACGGCACCACCTCGCATGCGCAGCGGAAGTCAGACGGAGACTGGCGGTTCAGCTCTTTCTTACTCCCTCAGCCGCCATAGGCGGGCGCGGAGGTTAGAGCCACCGCACTGCTCCATTAAGGGCCTAGAGTGGATCGCTGGCTGCACAGACCCCGGGGCTAAGCCCGACCCGACACGGGGGTCTCGGACGCACGGCCGAAGAGCACGGCGGCGGCGGTGCGGCCTTCGCTGTGATCCGGAAGCAGTCCCCCCACCGTGCCCCGCAGCCGGAAGCGGAGACGCCCCCTCCCCCGGAGTCACCCCCATCGTCACGGGCACCGCCAAGCTCCGCGGCGTCGCTTCTCGCGCTCCGCCGCATCCCGGGAAGAGCAGGAGACGCGAGTTTATGAGTGGGAGCCGCGACCGGCCGGCGTCGTGCGACGCGCAGAGCGGCTCGACGGCCCAGAGGCGGGGAAGCGGGAGAGGGAGAGGCGCGTGACGCGTCTCCTCCGGGCGCTACTGGATGCTGCACTTGTCGTCCTTCTTGACGATCTTGCCCACGTTCTGCTCCAGCGTCCTCTCCACGTGCTCGTCCTCCTCCTCAGCCCTGACGGAGCGGGGAGGGAGACGCGTCAGGTGACCCCGTGGGTGGGACGCACCGCAACCGACGCGCTTTTGCTTGCATTTTTTTGGGAATGCGAAAGGCGGTTCCTAAATTTCAGTTCCTGCACCCCAGCGAGTCACGGCTATTGAGGGGGGGATTTCCAATTCACACAAAGCATAATGCGAGCAGCGGTTGATTGGTAGATGCGGAAAAATACGGACGACCAATCGGCAGGACGAGCGACGCCGCTGGCGCACAGGGGAGGGAGGGAGGGGGGCTGTGGTTTGACGGCCGCTTGCACAGAACGACACAAAATCCACGCCTCTCAAACGTAAACATCACAAAGGAGGCCTTTGAGCCGTACGGGGCGTGCGTGATAAGAGATTGTAATCCGCAACGCGAGCCACAGGTAGCCGCTCGTGTACATCAAGATGCAGGCGGACAGCAAACGTGCGCGAGCTCGGACGACGCCGGTCCCGTGCGAGAGAAATTCCCACGCTCGCCTGCATCGCTGCGGACCCCGTAACTATTCGCGCGTCCTACACGACTGTACCACTTGCCCCGAATCGTATCACGACGACTCATCTTTCTACGCCGCCGAGATTCGATCGCCGTATGAAGCCGCACCGCTTCGTGGTGCGTCGTGGCGTGCGTAACATCGAGAGCGTAAACTAATGCATGATATCTTATAGCTTCTGTCAATGCACTGCTGGATGAAGGCCTCCCCATACCGTGCCACTTGTGGGGTTGTGGTCAATGCTGGCTGGTGGTGTGGTGAAGGGGCACTGGACCGGTTCAATTACCAATTGCGGTCGCTGTGGCGAGCAATAAAACTCGGGCAGCTGGGATCACAGCACGGTGCGGCTTCACCAACAACAACCGCCATTCGCCACTAAGTGGCGGTGTCATCACCACGGCGCTCGTGCCAGGCTATGTGCACTTTAAGGCCACGTGAAGTGTCGAACGCCCGCTGGCGGGAGGTCACGGGACAGACCCAGGTGCCATGGGTTGACTCATTGATACGAACACGATAGTTAGAATCTAATTCAACGATTGGTCATGGGAGTAGCTCCGTGTTGTACAACTTGTAACACACTCTCAAGACAGGCCTGTGCCGCAGTGTTTAGCGGGAACAATGAACTCGGGTTCTTGGCACCTGGGTTATACTCCTTACTACGAGACAAAACATCGATGGCCATTGACAACACCACCCCTTCACAAAAGTGCCGTGTACGAGTGTGTGTGTATACGTGTATGCGTGTGCTCGGGGAGTGGTGGCACAATCGGTAAGTGCACTGCCCTATTCTACTGGATGTGTGAAAATGAGTTTTGTAACTAAATTTATCCAAGATAAATAAAGATTCTGATTCTATCAGCGGTCAGTGACATCAGATATAGTTCATGGCCTCCCTTAGGTTGACTCGGCCTTATGACACAATCACCTTGTGCAATGCGTAACAATCAGCATTGGGGAGACAAGTGGCTGGGCGTGGTGCTAGCCACACAGAGATACTTTGCAATGCCGGTTCATCCTTGCTGGGTCCTCGCTAACAGCACTTGCCCCAACAGTCTATGCAGGCTACGCGGGGGGGGGGGGGGGGTATCTTTGTCTTTGCTCTCACTGCTTTTCCTGAGCGTCCAGGTCCTGCACGAGCGCGTCGCGCTTGTTCACCAGCGTCACCAGCTCGTCCAGCAGCAGCTGCTCACGCCGCTTCTGAGCCTCCGTCTTCTGCCAGTCTGTGACGCACACACACACGAGTACATGTCAAAGCCAAAGGTGTCTCCCCCCCCATTCAAACAAGCAGAGGGTCAGAATTCAACCTCCGATAGCGATTCTCAACCAACCAGTGGCGAGAATTCCATATTCCCATGACGGGGCCCTGACGAACGGGCTGTACGGTATCAGCGGCATGGATACAGTACCTTGTGCGTAGCCCCTCTCTCTCCAGCTGAGATGACATCCCATAGACTCCAGAATGAAAACACCCCCCCCACCCCCCCAAATGTTGCTCACAGCTCCGTGCACCGAGCTGCCAAGCGCCGAGGCCCTGGGTTCAAATCCAGGCGCCAGACACCTCCGATGAAAGCTGGCTCTCGGGCGGAGAGAGAATTGTTGGTCTCAGCCTCGGCCACCGTGATTGCGCAAAAAACACCGCCACGTTAAAAATCGGGTTGTTCACCGAACGTGGATACATCTCAGCTCCGAGAGCTGCCCGCCCCCCACCCCCCTTGTATGCAGAGCGGGGGGTGGGACACACACAGCCACCCCCTCCCGGCGCTCGGCTCCACGAGGAAACCTCCACCCCTCCCCCGCAACACCGCCTACTCCCCCCTCCCCCTGGCTGGGAGCTGTCAATCACCCCCCCCCCCCCCCATCGTCTCCGCCCATTCAATTACTTCTAGCAAATGCCCCTTTCCTCGCGGGACGGGAGATAACAGCACTCGCCGCTCGATAATAGATGTTTATCCGCTCTGCCGAGTCCCAACTGTTTCAATGTCTAATTAAAATGGAACGCGACGATCCCATCGCAACCCCCCCCCCTCTCCACTTCGTTTGCCCCTAATTCTCTGTAATGAAGGTCTGTCGTGATGCAGAGCCATACGCCGCTGCGAGCCCCTGCGCCAACGCGTATCGATAAAACGTGCCTAACTAGGCGAGAGGCCGTGTGGCAGACGAGGAGGAGGGTCGTACGCACGCCACTAAGTCGCAGCTCCAGAGGCGCTCGATGCAGCGTGCGTGCGTTAGTGCCGTGTGTCTGTGCGTCAAATGACAAGTCATGTAACAAAATGTACTGCGGTATGTGCCACGTCGCGCATAGGCCGTGCGTGTTCTGGTCACGTCTGTTGTATACCTGTGCCGTGCATCTACATGGCTACGTCAAGCATCAGGTGTCTGCGTGTCCGCGCGTCGATGCGTTGCGTCTGCACGCCTTGCGTACACAAAATGTTGTTTCAGTGTTGCGACAGCGCGCGCACCTTCGATGGCCATCATGGCACGCAGCTCGCGGTTGAGCAGCTCGTAGCGTCGCTCCAGGTCGTGCTCCTTCTCCCTGTGAGTGGCGGTAACAACAACAACGATGACGCCCGCGCCAGAACCGACGGGAGCAAAGAGCGTCAGCGAGTGCCTATTGGGACCAGCACGGCACGTGAACCGGTCAGAATCAGCATCTTATTTTTATACTGGAGAAATCCGATGAGCTATCAAGCTCTTTTCAACATATGTTCAGGAGGGGCAGGTCAGAAGTGTGGCCAGCACCACTCACCCGGCTGCCTTCACCTCCCAAGCGTTTGCATCGTTGCATCGCTCACTCATTCTAACAGAAGTGAACCTGTGAGATGGTCAGGCCAAGAGTTTGGATACAAATTCTAGATTGGCGATGTCACAGATCATCGCGAGTGTGAACAATCCTGGCCGACTCATGACTCACGATCGGAAAGTAACAAGCCAAAACATTGGAGAGAGGGCCGTCTCAGCCCATCGTCCCCCTTGCCATCAGAAAAATCAGAACCAATCTTCGACGAATTGCCCTATCACTCGCTTGAGCAGGAAGATCAGTGTTTTCGACAACAGAAAACAGATCATGCAAGCAACTTAACGAGTCACAAAAGTGCCGACGAGATCCACCTGGAATATACAGTGTTCATAATAAATGATGTATACGTGGCAACTATTAGCGGTGAAACTTAGCCCTACAATGAAATTATATCCGTTTTGTGGGATTTTTTTTATCTGTGCAGGGAATCTGCGGCGGCCCTGCGGAGGAAACCCACGTGGAACAGGGGGCAAAACCCGACGAAGTTCACGCAGAAGAGCGCCCGAGTCGGGAATTGAAGCTGGGAAGACCTTTTACTGCGAGGCACAAGCGGTGCCACCGTGCCGTCACCCTGCCGCGGGCCGTAGCGCAGGGCACCGCCGGCGAGGAATGCGCGGCACGTGAAGGGCTCGCTCCTCCGCGCTCTCGACTGTAATCGGGGCCGGAGGGGAGGGGAGGAGGCAGCGGCGCTTTGTCCTGCACTGAGCCCACGACGTGCCGATCCGAGTTTGGCCCCAGGGTCACAGAGGAGGAAGCCACCATCTCAAGAGAATTGGCGATAATAAACGGATGAATGTGGCCTTGGCAGCACACGGTTGAATTTTATCCGAGAGGACCAGCAGGTCGTATTTTTACGGCTAACACACACTGCGGTATTTATCAGGGCGGCCGCCAAATTCGAACCGCGAACCTCTGCAACAAGCGGCGAGTGCTCTACAGTCACCGCCCGAATAAAAACGTGACGTATAATCACGTAACGTCTAAAATACCGACGTCGGAAATTAAACAGCGGCTAATGGACAAGGGAAGAAGTGAAACAATGGGGGAGTTGGGTTGAACAGGAACGGCGAAGTCGTGCTGGAGAAGAGACTGCGCCGTGAGGTCAGGCCGAGCTGACGGCTCTCAGAGTGCGAGCTCCGGAGGAGGAGGAGGGGAAATAAAAACAAACTATCCACCCAACCTGCCGATGATTGGCACTAATTAGCAACAGTGAGAGCATTCAAAACATAAATGTATGTAAAATAATACAGCAGCACCTAGGAAAAAAAACACCAACGTTTTTTAAAGGCTGCGAAACAGCCAGGTCAAAATGTCTCTCTGCTCAAATGTGCGCAGAGTAGCACTCATCACTGGCCCGGAGCCAGAGGTGAAAATTCCACATTCCGATGATGGAATCAGTATATTCACGGCATGAATGTTATTGAAATCAAGTACAGGCCAAATTGCTCCCTCCTCCCTTCCGCCTCTTCCTCCTCCGCCGCCTCCTCTTCTCCAATGCCTCCGGCCGCCCATGTCTCCTTCGAGCGCTGGGTGAGGTGTGTGTGCGCGCGTGTGCCTACGTGCACGCACGCACGCAGGCGCACGCCGCTCGCGACTCACAGGATGCTGAGCTGGTTCTGACGGCGGATGAGCGCATTCTTCTTGTTTACGAGCGTGAACCACTCCTGCATGAGCATCTCCTCCTCCTCCTTGCTGCGACCTGCACGGCACGGCGGCGTCACAATTGTCACACATCGCGCGCCGTCGCGTACGCCAGATCAACGGGACAACGGCGCCGCGACCATACGGACTGGCACGATGGCACGAGATGCACGTCAGAGCGTAAACCAGTTTACCAAAGAAAACCACGAAATTATAGAATGCCGCAAACACACACGGCAAAATGACCCAACGTGTGCATCCGTCATGTAAATCATCTTAGCGACACAATAGCCAGCTCGACGACGCAACACACATCACCACAAAGAACACGACGCAAACATGGGAGGGTACAAAACTGCACGACAACACAAGACACACGCACGGTCCCAAACATAAATGAAGATGTAACCACATGCAACTACCAAACCTGTGCCTCGATACGAAGGCACATCATCATCATCATCTCCAAACCGCTACTCGACGAGCCCCGTCGTCCAACGAAGCCGTGCGCCGACGACAAACGCCGGCATGCACGTAGCTCGGCGCTGCGTCGGCACGCTCGGGCACTTGGCATTTCATTTACGGCCAAGCGACCCATTCTGGTTCCGCAAACCGGACGTCAGGCGACTACTCTGCCATCAAATTTTGATTTAAAGCTTTCGTGACTGCAGGGATTCATATTCTTGGTTCTTTCGGTAAAGTCACGCAGAAGGGAAATAATAAAATAATAAAAATCAAACAATACAATTCCCACGACGTTTCGACTGCAACACAAGCAATATCATCAGGTGTGAAAACCACAGCAAGAAAATGATTTTCTTTATTTCCCTTCTATGTGACTTTACCGAAAGAACCAAGAATACTCTGCCATCAGTTCGTCGCACTATTCGACGCCTGAAAGAGAGGCTTGGTGATTGCAAGGACCGCACTCTTATTTATTTACTTGCATCGGACGTAGACTGCAGAAATTATAAAAACACCCAGTCTCCCAGGAACACCCCTGTCGCTACCGCTTGTGACACGGGCGTAACGCGAACGTGGTTACACACGCGGTTCACGTGAAAGTTACCAAATGGCGCGCATTCGTAATTGCCGCACTTTTTTTTTTCCTGGCAAAATTGGCACGATGGCCGCCACGGCGCCACTTCTGTGACTCGCCCGCGAGCGCGAGCGGTCGACCCGACGGTGGGGGTTGGGGTTGCGGTGGGTGAGATTGCGCAAGAGAGAGCACGGGAGGCGGAGGAGGCATGGTCTCGTCTTCGCGCGGCACACCGGTTCACGGCACCGCGCGGAGAGGACAGCGTTGGGCTCGTGCGCCCCCATGGCGAACGACGTGCCACCCTCCCCCCCCCACGTTTTCGCTCACACTGTAATCCGCGGATCCAGCCAACCGAGGAAAAAAAAAAACCAAACGAGTAAAAAAATATGTGTACTAGAAACGGGCTACATTTAGAATTCTTCAAAGCGGTTGTTATTCCAAATCCCTTCGCACAAACACGGCGGAGGAGAACAGCTCCTTGTCAGTCGAACAGTCCCTCGTCAAACCAGTTAGGACAGCACAGAGCTATCAAAACACGGCTCCTGACAAGCAGCGTCTATCGTCGCCGCCACCACCGAGCAGAGCTCAAATTAAACAGCGACATCCGCTCGCAGAACCGATGAATGTGGGGAGCCGGCCACAGAAGCCATCGACACAACAGTGGCGGTCACAATCAGAATCTTTATTTACCCTGGAGAAACCCGATGAGCTATGAAGCTCTTTTTCACACATGTCCACAGTAGGGACATGTCAAAAAGTGACAACAAAAAGCAAGTATAGGAAAGGTAAGCAAATCACTATAAAGAAATACAAATAAAGTATATATGGTGAGATGATGGAAATGGTCCCATCTTGCCTAGAAAGAAAAATTAAATAAAAAAGGCATAAATCAAAGAGTAAAAAATAACTGCCGCCGCCTCCTCCACCCCACCCCCCCTCCCCTCAAGGTGGAGAGAAAAAAAATTCAAAGCGAGAAAGGGCCGGCAAGAATTGGCGGCGCTGCGGGCAGAGCGGCCGCGGAGTGTTTTTAACTTTTTAACCGCTGCACGCAGAAAAGGGGAAGTCGCTTTTGTTAAAACACGGGCGGCTCTAAATCCCCCCCTCGGCCTTTGTGCGGGCCGCCTTGACGGGCACAAATGGAAAGCCGGGGCGGCTTTAGCTGAGCCCCTCTCGAGAGGAGGCCGCTTCAAAGGATGCAGCCCCGAGCCAAGCTAAACTGTTTTCATGCCGGAGACGCCAACCACCACCACCGCCGCTCCCACCGCCGCTCCCAGGGCCGCTCCGGCCCGGCTCGGTGCGACGTGTGCCGGAATCCGGGGCCCTCGCTCGGGGTCCAAGCCTCTGGCGCTCGCGTCGTACGGGACGGGCGACGCGACGACCATCGCCTCGTGCACCTTGCGCGGCGTTGGTGCCCGTGGTGCCAGTGTGCCTGCGCGAATCGCGCCGCCAAAGCGATTACTGACCCTCTCCGAAACTCGAGATGTCTTTAATCGGTTACAAAATTACGAATTCGCATCGCATCGATGGTTTACGCCGATATTGGTTAAGAATTTTGAATTCTTCCAGATGTATTTGGAAATTCCCCGAAGCTTGCAGGGCCAGGCTATGGGCACGAGTAAGGATGCATTTCAGCACAAATCGCACACCACAGCAATGCGACCGGGGTGTGTACATGAGCCATGGTCACAATCCACTGCTGGAAGAAGGCCTCCACCAAAGCTGCTGCCATATATTACAATCCTGCGATGTAGTAATTTACCTAGCACCTGCACACAAGCTGATTTCAAGCTCCATCTCCTCGGTGGACGTTCCATTCATGGCTGCCACTCCACTCCGTAAGTAATCTTGACCAACATCCATCATTCCAGTAGCTGAGATGATGTCATTAACCTGCGTGCTCTCTTAGCCACATGCTCCTCCTCCTGTATCTCAATCGCAATTCCAAGAATGAATTTCTCAGGGGCGTTACAGAACTTTTAAGAAAGCTATTTTACAAAAGTGAAAAAATATTAAGTAAATAAATGATGGAAATGTATGGGAATACTACGGTGATAATTAAATATATATATATGATGGCATAAACTTGATTTGAAGCTTTCGTGACTGCAGGAATTACTCTTTGGTTCTTTCAGTAAAGTCACGTAGAAGGAAAATTAATGAAACAATAGAATACGCAACACAAGAACGTAATGAACCAAGTAAGGTGCTGATTGTTGTGTTAGCCGACTCTGTGTATTGCATTGTATTTCTAAGTTCACTAGGTTTGTTCTCTCCCCGATGACGATTGCTTGTGTTGCAATCGAAACGTCGTATTCTATTATTTAATTTATTTTCTTTCTGTGTGACTTTACCGAAAGAACTAAAGAGTATAATGGGCATACTAGCCCCTAGCCATAGCAATGTGGAGTTCAAACGGCGAGTTCAGGTCTGCCAACAAAGATGACCACTCACCGACACATGCAAGCTCAACCACGTGTGTGACCATTATTGAAGACCAATGTTATTGTTAAATTATAAATATATAGTATAATGGTCTATATATATAGTCCACTTGGCTTTATAGAATCCACACGCCTATGTAGATTCTACAAAGTACTCTATATATAGACAAACAGACTCGATATATAGACAAGCGTACGCATCCGCCGCACATCTCTGCGACGAGACCGCCCCCCCCCCCTCTCCGGGACGCTGTCCACCCTCTCCCTCGGGGGCTCTCAACCTCGGGCAGTCTCCCACCCCGGCACCCCCCCCCCCGGCACCCTCTACCCCCGGCACCACCCCCCCGGCACCCACCACCCCCACAGTCGCCGGCAATGCAGCAACTCGACGCGTAGCGACTCGCTCGGCGTGTAATGAGCCACCCACCCCCCCACGGCGATTCGATCAATTTCCACGATTCGGGGGTCGCGATTCAACTCCAGCATTGATTGTTGTTCGTCTCTATTATTGCACCGCTTCGTTGTACCTCTCCTCTCGTTCCGTCTCGCTCCGTCCACTTGTTTGACAACTGCGTAAGACGCGCAATCGCCGTCAACCGATCGATCCTCGGGCGCGCAATTCGACGCCCGTATTTGCGAGCGGCGGAATCGATTTTTAAACGACGACTCGACGTCACGCGCCCATTGGGCACGCACATCCGTGGTGCCCCAACGTACGCAGCACCGGCGGCAACGACGAGAGCCGAGGGGGCATCTCACGGCGTCGCGGCAAGCACGTCCGTGCCGCTGGTCGGCGGCGCCCCCGTGTCATCGCTTGTCGTAGCTACGGTGGAGCCGATATTACTTGTTTATTCGTCTGCGTGTCGGCGTTCGTTGTGGTGCAGAGGTTGCCAGGCGCTGCAGATATTGTCAGCGACTTGGGTCCGAGCACAGGAATTACTTCCCTGTGATACTAGATCGTTGGCGCCACGGGTGGTGCTAACATCAGCCCCTAGACTATTAATTCTACTTTGCAAGGGAAACCTGGGATAAAGTCAATTCACTTGACCACTCCTGCTCAGGCCACTTCACAGCAAGGTAGGGTTCACTCTCTCTCTCCCCTCGAGAGAAGCTGCTGCTGTTAATGCACCCAACCGAGTCCTAGAACACACACGGCAGCTGCGATAAAGTTGTTGTTGTTGTTCTTGACTTAAAGCTTTCATGACTGCCGGAATTCATATTCTTTGGGTCTTTCGGTAAAATCACGTTGATAGGTTCATCTAGCTACGCGACCATCTACGCGACTTTACCGACAGACCCAAAGAATATGTTGTTATTGTTGTCTTTACATTCGGCCATGACGAGCAAGGGTGCCCCCACGGGCCTTCCCGTGCGCCCCCGTCCCCCCCCCGTGGGCCCCCCCGCGTGCCTCCACGGGCCCTGCGCACGAGGGGTCGTGTTTGCGAGTGGCGTCACGTGGGTTATCACCCACCCGCGCCGCCACCACCACCATCACCGCCGCCGCTGTGAGTTCTGTGCAAACAGCTCGCAAAGCCGCATGAGAACCGGCCGATGGCGCGGTGGGGGGGGGGGGGAGAA